AGCTCGTGGGAATCTAATATCAAATGAAATTTAACCTCGCATGTTACATATCATTATAAGATATATAAAAATAAGTAGAATGTTTTCTACCATTCTCTCATAAAAAAGTAATAGTGAAGTGAACGGAGGAAACTAAATGTGTGAGAATCTACCTATTCAATACATAAGTTAGAGGTACATATATTTATTCTCGAAAAACGTTTTATCTTCTCTCTCTCTCTCTCTCTCCACTTGGCAAAAAATAAAGGGGGGGTTCCAACCCCCGGAACCCCCCCTCTGGATCCGCCAATGAGGTCCTTGTATCGATTAGAGAACTTGAGAAAATGGTGACTATAAGCAAGACTGCAAATATAGCTGTTTCATCAACTTATTAGTTAATAACTTGCCTCATTTTAGAATTGTTCGTACCTAGAGTATGCTCTTCCGTATCGAATCAACTACTGTAAGAGACATGTTTATCATAAGTTTTTGTTGCCAAGTTATCATTTGTCCAAATATGAAACAGATGTGTCAGACTTTAATGGTATCTCTTACTTCAAGTTCACTAGGATATCTCGAGTCGACATATGAATGGAAATGACTTAATGTATTTTTATTTGGTAATAGGTCGATGATATATCGAAATGTCGAGTTGAAGGCCAAAACACCTGTTTTCTTCTTTGTTATGTTTAATTTTTTTAAATAAATTTTACTTTATATACATGTAAATGCAAAAATAATTCTACTAGTAACGGGGCCCAATTGTTACCCATGACAATTCCGACAGATTGTTGGAAAACTTTGTCTCCAAAAATTACAAAGATATTGTTGATTAGAATTAAACTCAAACGTCTTTTAAATATGTACAAGTAGTAGTTACCTCATATAACGTTGTTGATTATGTGCAGATACTCGATGGGCGTGGTCATAATGACACGAGGGAGCGTATGGACCAAAAGCATAAAAATATAAATGAAATCTTGACAGGTCTTCTTTTTTATCCCAAGACATCGATCAAGCAGTCAAACTGTTTGCTTGATTGTATAAAGCATTGAGCAGTCTACCAAAGTTGTGAAATTCCTGGCCAAAAAGGAAAGGGGCTCTGTTGAATATGTAGTGAAAATCATTTTAGCTCACCTGAGCCAAAGGCTCAAGTGAGCTTTTCTGATCAAAATTTGTCCGTTGTCTGTCGTCGTCATCGTAGACTTTTCACATTTTCATCTTCTTCTCAAGAAGCACTGGGCCAATTTCAATCAAACTTGCCACAAAGTATCCTTGGGTGAAATTTGTTCAGATGAAGGGCCATGCCCTCTTCCAAGGGGGAGATAATTATGAATTAATGAAAAATTAATGGCTTCTTTTAAAAATATTCTTTACTGTTCTCAAGAATCACTGGGCCATGAAAGATGAAACTCACGTGAAAGCATCCTCAGGTAGTGTAGATACATTTTGTTCAACTCATGATCCCCGGGCATAGGGTTGGGCCACAATGGGGGATCAAAGTTTAATATAGGAATACAGAAGGAAAAATCTTTAAAAATCTTCTTCTCAAGAACCACTGGACCAAGAAAGAAGAAACTCATGTGGAAGCATCCTCTGGTAGTGTAGATTCAAGTTTATTCAAATCATGACCCCCATGGATTGGGTGGGTCCACAATGGGATAGCAAAGTTTAACATAAGAGTACATAGGAAAAATCTTTAAAAATCTCCTTCTCAAGAACAGCAAAGACATGTTTGGCCAAGGTTATATGGAAGCATCCTCTGGTAGTGTAGATTCAAGTTTATTCAAATCATGACCCCCAGTTTTATACTCCTATGCTAAAACAAACCAAGTGACATAGTTATGATGAACAACGGAGCCTCTGTGAAACTTTTAACTTTCATGGCATCAGGTTAAAAATTCAAAATAGTTGTTACATGATACTCAGGTGAACTAAATATTATAGGATTAAACGTTCTTTTTTCAGAATTTATCGATGTGTAAACTCTGCCTTTTTACTCACAAACTGAATAAAAGTGCGAAGCACTTTTACGTAAAGTTTGTGAGTAAAAAGGCAGAGTTTATACATCGATAAATTCTGAAAAAAAGAACGTTTAATTCTTATAATTCCAATTACGAATTTTGTCAACGGATTTTCCCGTTATTTCCCAATTCTGACAAGGGACAAATGGCGGGAGTGACCGGTAGACAGGGGATGCTAACTCCTCCATGGCACTTCATCGCACCTCCAATGTTTTGATGTTCCGTGTTTCCTCCGCTCCAATTTTGTGCTGTTTGGTGGACTTTTGGGCTTTAATACTTTTCGTTATCTCGGATTCCATCAAGGACTCATTTGAGAAACTTTGACTTTCGCCATAAGCTGCCAACCGAGGACATAAGTGTTTCATCTTTTGAGAAGGTATATAAGTATATATATAATATATCACTGTAAAGTAGCATTTCCCTATCTGTAACGTCCAGAAAGTACCCAGTTTTGGTTAGCCGAGCAAATCGTTTCCTTGATTTAAGTATTTAATTAAATTTTGAATGATTCGTACTCTGCTTCCTGTAGATTTCATGCCAAATACGCCCATTTGCTATTGTTTTTTGATGTCAATCGCAACTTCTCGGGCATTTCCGACTAGTTTCCGACCTCCGACGCGGAAAGAACTAAGAGGATGCGATTGTGGCTGATGTTGGTCCGGTGGTCCTTAAGATTACGGTGAAAATGTAAAATGTAACCGCTGGTCGACAGACTCTCTAAATTAGATCTAAAGAGCTACTTCAAAAGTTTGGCTCAAACTTCGGCCATAATTCTTTGTCTCTGTTTGTCGTATGTATGGACAGCATGACTTTGGCTATATAGTAAATTAAAAAAAATTTCAGGTTACGCATTTTTATGCTCAGTTTGTTTGGAAACTGGTTTTGATTATAAAATAAAGAATTAGTGAACAATGTAATACATGTGTAGGTTGTTACCATAAAATAGTGCGATGGAAATTAATCATCTGTAATTTACGTGTCTGTTGGAAATGACCTCACATCGATATTCTGCGGTATGTACAGGCCCCAAGACCATGAGAACAGGCTTAAGTCAAAATCTTGATTTTTAATATCTTGAGTTTCATTTAATGTATTTGCTTTATATTTCAATTCAAATATATGGCGAAGAATTTGTTTCAATATCAAAATTATTAAAAGTTATAATAGTTTGAAATTTTGACTTGAGTCTGTTCTCAGTTTATGGTCTTGGGGCCTGGCCTTATAATACAATGAAGCGCACTGAAGTGGTAAAATTTTCTGTTTGGATGGAACGTTTTGAGCTACCTTTAGACACGCCCATTTCTTTAGAAAGGAAATATCGGTCAAATGATTCAATCGAATACCTGTAGAACAGGTATTTTATAAATATAATAGCCAATGAAATTGACGGTCTACATAAACACCGAGTAAGCACGTGTTCGACCGATACATGTGTTATAGTAACTCCAATCAACATGATAAAATCATAAAATGAACAAAGCCGTTGCAATGCGTGTTTTACATAAGCGGGAACTTTATACATAGCTCTTTCTTATTTAAAAATCTTCATTTCAGTGTAACTCGTATTGCTTGTCGCGGAAAGTGTAGTGTCCCAAAACATTACGACTATTGCTTTCTCGTTTCTAAAGAAATGGGCGTGTCGTTATGTTAATAATGACGTTCAAAACATGACTCAGAACGTTTCGTCCAAATGGAAAATTTTACCACTTCAATGCGCTTCACTGTAGATAAACACGCATTTGGGCACATGTTGTTTTTTTTTTCATAATCACACAGCTATGTCAATTTTTAAGACCTTGAAAACTTACAAGAGTTAATAATGGTCCAATTCTGCATGCGTATGCAAAACAAAAATATCAGTAATCCCGGCTTAACTTGACCAAACGTAAAACATAACAACAATTTCTGACTAACTTCAGAAAATTGAATATTAATTGATTAAACAGAACATCCTAGCTCTCGGACATTTGACCTTGTTGGCTTAATGTTTTGACATTTCTTTTTCCTCTGAAGTTTGTTCCTCGGATCAGATTAGTTCTAAACGACATTTTTCACAAAGATAAACAAGTTATCAAATTACCTCTTTGATTTCTATTCATGTCCAATATTTTTAAGCCTGGATAAGTAGACCTCTTCAAATGATTCTATTCACACCTTTTTCTCCAGTCTTCTTTCAAGAATCAAAGCTGAGTATGGAGATTTTCTTCCTTCTTGTTAAGGATTATCTATGCTTTTGATTGAACATTTCAAAATGAGTTATCATTTTGTTTTGTTTTATGATTACTTTGATTTTATTATCTGTCTCTTAACATTAATTGGAATTTCCTAAAAATCTTCAAAACTTAGCATTGTTTCTCTCTGACGAAGCCAAGTGTATATATGAAATCAAAGGAATGAAATAACACCGAGAGTCAAAGCAAACCTGATAAATTACTGCTACGTCAATCATGTTCCAGTGTTTCTTCTTGTTAACACTTACCTTACTAAATGCAAAAATCAAAATACTGAAAGATAACAGGAAATTCCACAAATTGGACTTGTATGTTTATTAATCAGAAGATAAAAATAAAATCAATTAGGAAACAAAATAATCCAGAGGCATACATTAGTAGCATATTCAAAAATTGTAATCCAACAGCAGTCAACTACAGATAAAAACCAGGATGACGGCAGTGCTGGTTCCGAAATAATATGATTTGCTATTATTTTACAGTAAGCCCTACCTATCTTTTAAATCTGATTAAAATGTAACACCGGTTTCTGTGAATAAATACATCAACAATCAAATACAACGTGTTTCTTGTTACAACTGAGTATAAAACGTTCAAAACGCCAAACTACAAAATGAATTTAATTCTATAGGGAAACACTCTGTTGATTACAAAATGGGAAATTGAAAATAACTGCAACTTCTTTATAAATAACAAGTAAAGGCAAATTTATATCATTAATCTCTACAAGGATTAAAATTTTTCAAATTCAAAGTACAATCTATGGATAATTTCAAAAAAGGAGATAAAAAAAGTGAGGTAGAGAAAATCAAGAAAAATCATTTCAATTTTGCTTGAATCACCTTAAAAGAGCAAGGTTAAAATTTGACCGGGATATTACAAAGACGACTGATCTCATATTCTAGTAGCTTTGATTGATAACAGTATAACACGGTTTTACAGTCTTTTCTTTCGAAGAGATCAGTACTTATACTAATTTCTTAAGAGCGTCAAGCAATTTGGTCGCACTGTTCGCTCACAATTTCCAAATCTTTCAATATTTCGTTCAATAATACGGAACCGAAATAGATACCGGTACATCATAAAAAAAATGAAACAAACAAACAATACTTATCAGCATAAGATCCGCCCCATGAGCTGAGAAGGTATGGATGTAGCAGCTAAATTTTAATACAGTAACAACCGATATACAATATGAAACAGTTATATGTTTACAACAATGATAACAATTCATATATCTAATAGGGGAAACATGGAACAACACAAAAACCCGTAATTCTTTATACACACTCGGGACATTTCTGCACTGCGTTTGCTAACAAAGACATTTTAGAAGCATTAGCACTAACTATTAGACACTACAAGCTGCTTGCACTAAATGTAGAGCGAGTAAAAACAAAAGTTCATATTTTAATATTTTAACAGCGTATCGTGACAAAAGTCATGAAAAGGTTTCAGAACTGCCTGGTGTGTTTTCCCAAAGTTAGCAGTGCTATTCAGCTAATAAATAGGGTACAAGTTAACATTATTATGACTTTTTTCACATTAAGACAAAGAATTCTATGGTACACCTTTCCCAATGCTGATAGACCTATGGCAGCAGTAGACCACGGAGAAAAGTTAACTTCCTGTGATATATCTCATCGCCATCAACAACCGATTTTAACTGAGGAGACATCTTTTTTTAGACACCCTTTGGATTTCTATGATAACATGCGAATTGCTTGAAGCATTGGTATTAATACTACATATTCACCAGTTATATACAGCACCTGTGAACAACAAAACATTACTTCGAGGTATATTATGTCCGCAAGAATTATTTCAGCTATAATATGTCTGCCCCTCATTGAATAAGTCCAAGAGTTGCGGAGGAATATCACCTTGGTGATCAAGCCGGATGCACAACACGCGCTCTGCATGACGGGTACTGATAGTGCGCAGATCCGTCACTTTCATAAGGATCTTTGCCCAGTGCACTGGTTGGTGAGGTCGGTTGGTCGCTATATAACGCTTAAATGCTCCAAGTACGGAATCCTGGAGTTTTTCCACAGCTTCCGGCTCTTTTAAACCCGAACGATCTGAAAAGACATGTACCTTTCTAATATAATTCATTGTCAAACAACATGACTTGACATGAAAAATCGTATTCTTTAACGAGTATTACGGTTTTTCTACGTAAACACTATTTCAAACAATAAAATTTTGCATTGTTTAGAAATTTTGTTGAAATGCTTAGGAAAAGGATTTGCTAAACTTACCAGACTGCATGAGCAAGACAGCTGCAAGTAACGCAAGCTCAGTTTTGTCCAGTTTTAGTTTTGACAGACCAACAGCAAATTCAAATATTGGTTCCACCAGGAGACCAAGACCCTCTGATTTGAGCTGCGATTTGTGTAGACAGACACCATTATGCATGGTTATGGTCTCTTTCTCCGGATCGTACCGACAGGCGGCGCGCAGACACATGATCTCCATACAACAAGACTTTAGTAACAGGATCTGGTCGTCCACAAACAACTAAAATAAGAGACGTATTTAAAATAAATTTTGAAAGAGTGTCAAATAAGGATCCCGTTTTCTCTGTGTCCTATAAAATATGACCATAAGAATCTTCAATGTTGTTCAATTTGAACCAAAAAACACATTCTTTTTCTTTGAAAAAAGGCATATGTTGTTCGTCCAATTGTCCTTTACAAAAATTTGAATTTTTCAATTAAAATTTGTTTACCTAAAACTTACTAGAGGTGAAGGTGAACAATTCTTTAATGCTACTACCACTGCAAGTAGAGACTGGGTTTGTTATCTATGATGATTTATGTAATTAACTCTTATTTGAACCTCTTACTATATACATGTACAAGTATCTAAAAACGCTCACACCATTACAAAGTATTACTCTAACATTCTGAATTTTGTCTCGATGTTTTTTCTCTTTTCTGTGCAGTCACGTTCTGGGCGGGTTCAACTTTTTTAATTTGTAAAAGATCTACATACTATCCTCTTTGAATCGCCCCTTATACATTTTTAACATGGCTGTTTGTCGTGCCAAGTGAGTTGAGAAGCCATTCCATCGATTTCCCTCTCCCTTTAAGCTAACAAGGTCAGGACAGGCAATTAACATATATATCATATTACAGGTGCCTTTTGTAAATGTGGAACACCGCTGTTCAGGCAGTGGACGTTGAATATGGAAATTTTATCTTGTTCTTTGTACATATATAATGATTTGTCTTCTGTCAGACTTAATTTTAGTCCTTGTAAATGGGCCGGAACCACTGACATATGAGAAAGTTAAAGAAGAAAAACGCCATTTTTATTCGCCATCTTTGATTTTACTGAAACAGTTTTTCTACGTTGCTTTGGGAATTTGATTCCGAATACTTTATCTTTGAAAATTATTTATCTTATGTATGTCTTCTTCGTTTTCCAAAGAATTATGCACTTTCTTCTTCATAAGATAATAATTTATTTCTGCAAAGCCATTTATAACATGTACTATGTTTAGGAAATTATGCACCTAGGATGCCTAGATCATGTCTGAGATTCAAAAAAAGTTGGCAGGGTATTTCTGCCAAGGAAGATAAAGCCCTTATTCCAAATAAAATGGCATAAACAAATATCTCTTAACACTAAGGAGCAGGTGCGCTAAGTTGGATTTCTGATGTGTCCCTGACACGTAACTGTTCATCAGAAAGATCCATCCATAGACTAAACAGCTGTATGTGGCTGCCAAAAACCATGATAAATGACTACATAGCCCATCAAACGGATACCAGAATGTCATGTCAGACCTATGATCAGCTTTGCAAGTACACAGAATGTGATTAACGTAGACTCTCAAAATTAATTTTCATTTTTATTTGAATAGAAAATGCAGTCACTCCATTTCTTCTTCTTAGAGTCAAAAGAGGCAAAACAACGTTTGGGTGCAAGTCAAGCCTTGGTTAGTTGTTTTTTTAACGAAATGTTTACGAACATACAATTGTACATTTGAAATTAAGATTTAAAGCATTAATGTACTTTCTTACCTGGATAAAGCCTGGTACGTTTTTGGCAAACTCCACAACTTTGACAATAGATGGCGTCATGGCTTCTGCTAACTGTTGCCATGCTTCCGGGTCCGAAGAGGGTAAGCCATCTTGTGTCTGCTGATGGAATGGAAAAGAAGGTTAATTTTTCAGCATGCATTTGAATTTCTAAACATATACAAGTCGCATCGAAAAAACCCATCGAGTGGGTTTTATCTTCTCCATTGAGAATTATTGCGGGATACAAATTATATATTTGGCTACCAATAACTTTGGCTTTTTATAAGATTGGGGCAACCGTTCTGTTAGGGAGCTCTTGAATGAATGTTCCATTTATTTACGTTATAAGCAAATAAAAGAAACATAATTTCTGGAAAAATCTTCTACAAGTTAATCACAAGAATCATCTTTAAATTCTTGATTATTATATATTTGTTGATGGCTCGATTTACGGATGCGACAAGAGGGAAATTTAGAATTCTAAAAACTAAGACGATTCTGAGAAGATCAATTCTATTCAAAACAAGAAAGGTTTTGCAGCTACCATTGGCTCTTTGATTGGCACTTTGACAGCAGTCTGCTCGTAGGCTGATGTCACTTCCGCTATTATTGTTTTGTCCGTGTCTGTAAGTGTATCGTGGTTACATCCTTCCGTCTGCTTTGTCTTTATTTTTGTGGTCTCTTGTTTTCTTTTTACTCTATTATCCTCAATCAGTTTTCTCTTTGCCTTCCTTTGCTTTTCATTTAAAACAACTGAAAAAGATACGATAAACATATGTTTAGATAATTCATGGAAGTGCATGCACAAGAAATATTTACAGTATGTCTTTTTGTACACTTTTCTATTCTTCCAGTGAATAAACAACTCCAGAAATCTTTCTGTCTACATGTTGTTGTCTAAAGTGAATAGTTATTTATTTTAATATAGGAAAACACATTTTGGTAGAGAATTTTCCTTGAACAAAAATTATCTGTGGTCAATATGATGAGCCATCGCAAATGACATTAACAGCGGGATATTGAACTGATACGTAGGCTTACTGCCTCCTCGGAGAGAAAAGGAGGGCAATGAGCGGAGGTCAACTTGACCCAGGCCTATAATGCACGCAGTATGTAATGTATTTATATCCCGGTATTTGCTCTCTGATCACGTGGTTGACCTTAAATCAACTTGTCGATAAGAGCTGTGACCTCAATCGGGGTTAAAAGGACCGCTGTGATGGCATATACCGTAGTATTTTCATGTTTTTCAAACGTGCTTGAGTACTCTGGTAATGCTCTTGGGTTCCTTTGTATACACAAATCGTTTTAAATATGTTTAACGTCCTTTTTAAAGTAGAATGCCTGAAGACTTAGTATTGGAAAGACAATCAATTGCTACAAATTCAAGCTGTTTGAAAAAGCGAACTTTTAAATAAACTCTAAATCATTTTTTTTTCTTTTTTAATTTCTGTAAAGGTAGATCAGATAGCACATTATCTAGGTCTTTATCTATGACCTAATCGGTCCCAGTTTAAAAGGTGTCAAGGCTTGTGGCCTCTGTGTGATAAATGGGACAATTTGAACTGGCATATGGTAAATATTGGCGATAAACGACCCCGTTTTACCTAATGGTGCATTGGTTGCTTGGCAACTATCGACCGGCGACCTTATTTTTAGGACACTGGATGGACTATCGATTTTTCTATGTACAATTTGCTGGACTATGCAAAAATATCATAAAGCACACATTCTTATCACCCTAATACTGTTGTATAAATTGGCGGTTTAAATACTGAGCGAAACACAGGTCTGAATGTTCGGGCAAAAGCACAGAAGTTTTATTAGCATGACCGTATTGTAGGCTTGCAAGACACAGAAAGCAGTTATTGGCGGCATAAAATAAGCGGTGGTTTTAATTAACTTTTACAATCATTCTCACAACTATAGAACTTGTTTTCCCTCGTGTTCAAGAGTTGCAAGGTTATGGGAGTGGGGTGATCCTAAAAGTACTTTCAGGAAAATAATCACCGGTGATTGACGTTGATAGTTGAGGCTTATATCAGGGATCGCAGCATGTAGACAGAGAGTCCGGAAAAAAACAGGCATATTCTGATTAGGCGCAGGCAGCAGGTGCAATAATTCGTGAATTTAGTACTTACGATCCGTTGCCATGCCAACATTTAAGCATTTTCTAAATCTACACTCTTGGCACTGGTTACGAGAGTTTTTATCGATCGAACACATTTTATTCCACTTGCAATGATACTGTAGATTCTTCTGAATTGTACGGCGGAAGAAGCCCTGAAAAAGAATATGGAAAGTAAATTATACTTGAGAGTCACATTTACTACAATTTTAGCATCATTTTTTCAGATGGTCAGCGTTAGCGTCATTAAAAGATTTGAGATGAAAATCTAAGACATTTACAACAGCTCTACCAGCCTTACAATAAACCATAAAAGTTAAGGGGGAATCGCTCAACCGCAACTTAGGGCCAGCTATAGGTAAAATTGTTCCATATCATCTTACAAATGTTGCTCATAAGTTTCGAATGTAAGATTTCTTTTTAGTTATTTTACTTTAAACATGTAAAAATTTCTATGTCGTTGACTCAGGGTTTTGTCAGCACTTTCTGATGCATTATACTTTAGTGCACTCATCGTGGCCCATCGTTTCTATGGTGAAATGTTTAAGTACTGCCAAATGTACGGATAGATAAAGAAGGTTTAAGCGCAGTATGTTGATTGTTAAATCATGGAACATGTTGGCCTTTTTGTTAATATTATACATTTGTCAACAGTTGTCGTAAAAACATTAGTTGGTAATCATATGTGCTGTACAAGTTATTTGAAATATCTGCCATTTTGATGCCTGTACAATTCTGTGATTAAAATATCAGTAACAGATTTCCACTTACTTTTCAGCTTGATAAGTGTATTTGATAGAAAACTATGGAAGTGGGGTTTTTTTTTCATTATAAATAAGGCCAGCATTTTTTTATTTTTAGGTTTACAAACCCGCCGCTCAAGTTTTTGAATTTTCAGAAAAAAAATAAAATTGAGAAAAACAGAATTTTTTCTTTCCGATGTCAAATTTGAGTCGGGAACAGATTTCAAATTTACAACTCGTACTTCCGGTTTTAAACGAACATGGCGGGTAATGAATGGAGATTTGTGTCAAGTCCATAGCAGCACTAAAGCTTGGTTTAATGTAAATATTTATCGATAGGAGTGCCATTCAAAACGTTTCACCCGTTCAGAGAACAATGAAATGCTGACGACTTTGTTGCAAAGTGACATGTTGGTGAGATAATAATGTATCCGTATTCAAAAGTAACTGTCTGTAATTGTAAATTATTTTCCTCCCACAGGTTTAAAACTGCCCATGGTAGCTATTGTCAGAGATATTGTTTAGGTTTCTGTCATAGCTTACAGTCTTAGCAGCATTCTTCAGAAAAGGGTAGCTTATGCATCAGATGTAATGAATAAAACTATGGGAGAAGTTAAGTCCATTTGAGGAAGAAGTAAACAATAGCCTAAAGAAATAAAATATTTCAACTATTTAAAAACAAGAATATACAAATATATACAGGCATGTAGTATCATTTATGGCAGCCAGAAAAATTATTTTACACTTAATTGAAAAAAATTCCACCCTACTCCTCAATACTCCTTGTACCCCCTGTCTGTTTTATGAAAGGAATTATTATTTTTATAGGTCTCAAGTATATTAATATTTTAGAATAATTTCTACCTAACACACATTAAAAACAAAAATGAAGATATATTAAAAGAGATTTAAAAAATTAATTTTTAAAAAAAATCTGTATTTTGTCCAACATCAAAAGATTTATATCACTGTCCCCAACTGGTAGATGATGAAATAAACAATTAAAGGTTGTATTTTCCCATTTGTAACCTTTATGTGTCCAGTGACAACAAGCTTGTTAGGAGAGCATAAAAAAAGAAGCAAAAATTAATGTAGGAAAAGTCGATAATGTATCCAAAAAAATAATTTTATTATTTGTTTTATTTCCTCCTCCTACGGGACTTTTTTATTCTGATGTTCGTAAACCTAAAAATAAAAAAATGCTGGCCTAAATGAGAAAATCGTTAGCCATGTAAATATTGTATAATTTTCAACTTCTTTTATACCTGAATGAAGAAATTGGCTGTACGTTCGAAAGAGGAAAAAACCCATAAACATCGACTACATTATTTACTTGGGGGGATTTATAGCATGACCTTGACCTACCTTGCAACCTTCACAGGTCATACAGCGATAATGATACCCGGTAGCTGCGTCCCCACAAACAACACAAGGTTCTGGTCCATTGCTAAGGTCCATATAACTTGGGATATACGGTGCCCCTGAAATCAAGAAGAAGAAAAACTTTATTCAGAATTTGTCTCATTATCAGATTTGCATTCGATTTTCTACTTTGTGTTTAGTGAAAGTCAATCAAGAATACAACTTTAATGATTTTTTTCTGAATTTGAATTTTGCCTGTAGGACACAGCCATGCATTGCATGGGATGTTACCAGGGACCTATATACTAGGTATATATGTCCCAGATATCACTATAGTACATGTACCTAAGAAGGGTAACCAATATTAAATATCTTAAAATAGCTTGCTATTTGATTCATCAATGTTATTATTTTTTTAAAAAATATTATGGAATTCTACATTGAAAAAATGCAGGATAAATATTGATAGCACTAGCAGTCATCCATACAAAATGTTCAGGAGATTAATCAATAGGCCTTTGAGAGAGTGCAACGGAGGGCAATGAACTCGACAGTCAAAATGGCGCCCGGCAGGATGTCGGGAGCACAACGTAACACTACGTAATGATCAGTCTGACGAGATACGGAGAAGGATAAGAGTCAATATCGTGAGTATTGTTTTATGTTTATTTTATTTTTTTATAGTATTTAGTTTCGGTTCTCCACTTTACATAACTTGTTACTTTGAAGGAAACACTTACTAAAGTTACAGGAGAAACTGTTTGTTTTGATCAATTTTTTTTTTAGATTAAACAAAAACGCATATTATATTTCAGATTTTGTTTGAGAGTTCATGTTATAAACTTTAATTTTACGAAAAACAACTGTATATATATAACTTTGTAGGAAAAAGGACCATTGCATAAATGAAGTTCCACGGACGGTCATTGAAAGTTCAACGGGTCTTTGACCTATGTATTTGGTTTTTACACGTTAAGTTCATATACAAGTATCTTGCATGTAATAGTTTCTTTCTGAATGAGCTTCGTCCACATTGCATAATATGCAATTATGCAAACAAAGTAAATTCTACTTATCGATGATAAATGCAATGTTATCAAAACTAGCATACTGTATTCCTTACATGTAGATGGCACACACAAAGTAGGATAAAGTTGAATTTTTTTTATTAACTTATATGAATTCAAAATTATGTCATTTGCAATATCCAAAATAACAGATATCTTCAAAATCCTGTAGACCCGTTGACCACAAATATCTAATGTATTTTCTCTTCGCCAAAACTAAAGGTTCTTAAATTGTAGCCATCGAAATTTGTTATACTCTATTTTGTATTTAGCTCAACCTTTTATTTAGAAACACCAAACGGACAGGCCAGTTTGTAATCAACACACTTTATACTCATCAAAATAAACATTATTCAAAGGATTTGTTTCATTGCACATGTATATTATTTTTCTTAGAAAGATATTTTCCTAAATTGCAAAAGGAAGCTAAGTTGTACACCTCTCATATACATGAATATATTTTTCACAAATATTGAAAGAAATTGCATTGTTTGGACAAAAAGAAATTTTGTTCCCTTTTAACTTTTTTCTGATGTAGGGTTTTAAATACGAAGCAAATACAAAGTCTTAACATAGAGAAAACATAGGCCATGTTACTATTCATTGTTCTAGAAACAAGGTAACCACAAAGCGGAGCATCAATTCGCAATTGCCAAAGAGCATATATATTTAAATTCAGGCTGCAATCTACATCGATCCCGATGCAAATGACGTCATTTCCGTTCTGCACAGGACATAAATCACAAACAAACACACACATGTTTGCATTACTAGTTCCCCTTCAGCTCTGTTGTAAGGATTTGTGTGGATTTGTTGGATGTCCTATGTCTAAAGATATACACTCATCAAATTATTTAACTTTTGAATATTGTATTCATTTTCAAGCGATGGATACAGGTACCTCAAAATCAAATCATTTCTCAATGAGATGTTCTGTCAAGATATTATTTAATGAAATAGGTGGAGATAACGAACAGTGTTTTCAATAAGATTTTCAATAGAAGGAAAAATAAATGGAATAGCAGGAAGCCAGTCTCGGCGAGGGGTCTGGGGGCCGCCTTAGGCCCCCAGCGGGTCCAGGGCAGAGCCCTGGACCAATAAAACAAAATCAGCATTTTAGACTCACTTTTCTGACCTCTCAGGCCATTAAAAAAGTAATTTTTTTCACATTCTTGTCACTATCAATTATCAAATTTTACCCAAAAAAGCCAATTAGAAATTTTTTCTTACCTTTTTACAGATTTGTTTGACAAGAATTTTGACAGACTGGATTTTTTCTTCCAAAAAATAAGTGTCTATAAAACATATAGACAACTTAAGTATGAAATTCTAGTACAGACAATTTCTGTGGTAGAATATTATATTTAAAATTCTACATATTTAGCCCTTTTCACATAAATTGGTCAGGACTTTTATTCAAAACTCCAAAAATTATTTGGTTGAAAATTTTAAAAAAAATTTTTAAACACTTGGTCATGTACAGTACCCCCCAAAAATTGAAATATTCCGCAATCTTAGACTTTTCATAAATTAATCTTTAAATTGATTTACGTTTTTGACATTTTGTGCAGATAGTCAGAACAAAATAATTAAGAAAATGGAATTTGATACAAAATACTAGTACATTAAAACCTTCCCAAATGTGAAAATGATACTGTTCTTGTATTTCAAGAGATCTTAGACGAATAAAAGAGAATATTTTTTTCATTTTCAGTTTGAGGAAATGCTGTAAGAATTTCTATGTCTGAGTCACGATTAAAATATCAAGACTTTTATTCGTAATTATTATGTCAGCTTAACATTTGAGATTTTCAGTTTGCGGAAATTCTGTAAGAATTAGAATGGATACATGATCAATTTTAAATCGAAAATTATAAAACACAAACAAATCTTTTTGGAAGGGACCATTCTTTATGCCTCTTAATGTATGTGATCTCAAACGCATGTGTTAAAGCAGCAGCACATTTTTCCACGACTTCGCTCAAATATTCGTTGTCCGCGACGCCATTACCTGACACTATCGATCTAATCAAACTTCCTTGAAAAAAGAGCGCACTCAAGGGAAGCTACTCTAGATCATGGAAATATTTGCGATAAAATCTATGGATTTCGCGTATCAGCACCGGCAAAATCCTAATGACGGAAAATTCATAGCCGGCAAAATTACTCGTACAGGCGGTTAATTTTGCCGGTTGCCGGCTCTTATTGAAAACACTGACGAAAGGTATTCAAGGTCAAAATCCATTAAACAATACAAATTTTGGAGCAGAGCAAACACGGACCAATAAAACATCAGAGGTGGGATCAGGCCATGTTCCACAGGCCTGTTCCTTGAAGAGATTACATTTCGAGGAAGTCTGGCATACTTTAACATATGATACCATTTTAGTACATGCAGACGATAGGCAGGCATTTGAAATTAAATGTGACAATTATGTATATTCACTATGAATCCAGTCTCAAATCCAATGTTAAATATTTCTAAGATCAAATAACTTTCACATGCTTTCTCACTACATGTGTCAGTATAAATATCCTTCCCGATATACATACAATGTACATTTATTTAAAATTGCTACATATTGGGAATTTTTTTAGGGGAAATAAAAACAAATAATTTATTATTCCAGTTTTGAGAAAGGCAATGAAACATTTGAACTGAATTTATTTGGTTGATGTACATGTAGTAAAGTTCTGGATTTGAAATCGATGCTTTTTTAAAGGAACTTGAATACTTATATTTTCACATTTTGTATCCTGGTGATTTGTTTTCTTTAAAACTGGGTTCTTGTGGAGAAAAACAGATGGTTTTCTACTTTCCTTGTGGGTACAGGCGATAAGCAATCAGTGGTAACAGATGGTTCGTTACTGCAAAACTTCGTTCTCCCTGCTTTAGAATTTGAAGCTGAATACATCAGAACGAATTTCATGGGTAGTATCATACTTAAACACTCTCTAACCCATAGAGCTATGTTCGCACAAATAAGCTTGGTATTTCTAAGGTCAACAACGCACATACAATCCACAACTGCTATTTAAAATTTATTTTTGGGTCAAAAACCCAGATACCTTTTTTCATATGTATCTAGCACTTAACAGTAGCCCGCGGTCACGGCTGGGCATTTCTTCACTAATACACATCTGAAACATGAATATTCAAATGTAAGGCAATGTGTCGTTATAATAAATGACGGAAATCTGAACTGTCCTGGCTAGGACACGAATACTGTATGATTTTACTGCTCGAAAGAATACCGACGACAAAATAAAGTTACCAGATTAGACAATGTTTAAAATATTAAAATTTGATTAGAAAAGCTGGTTCTAAATCGTATATATGTGTCATTTCTCCCTAAATTGCAATATTTTAAAGGTAGGGTCATGTGAAACAGTAAAGTTTCCGTAGGTATTCTGAAAGGAGTAGCGATAATGTTTTTGGCATGTATGACAAACCATCAATTATTTTGGGCTAAAAACCGAGTCGGTTCATTCAGAATTTAACTTGGCTCTCCTCCACGCCTGATTCTTGTCTAATTACATTTCCTACTCAACACAATGGCTCGTCAATCGTCTCCCCTTATCCGTATTTTTCAGTGCCAACACTCCACGCCATGTAGCTTTCTGCAACCCTTATCTTTCAAGTTCTTGCACAGCGCCCTCATTATGCAACTTTTCTGAAACTAACGGTCGCCTTTATTGACATGACAACAGATTTATTGGCGGAATGTGGATTCATCAATTACAGTAACCGCTGATTATAACATAAACTAACTTTTATGTTCCCTAAATCATAGAAAAGTTCGGCCGTGAAATCTGGAAAACGATAGATTTACGATTCGGACTTCGAAAACCTGGGTCATTGTACCTTATTGAAGGGGGATTAGAGTGTTTGTTTAGTGATAATTCTACGTGGGTTACTCAATTTCCATGTTGCCTTGAAAGAAAATTAATTCTAGAAGCTACAAAAAGGAAACAAATGTTTTCCCTCAGTTTGGTACATTTAGTTTCTTCGGTTGTTTGCACATGTTTTCGGTTTATAGGTATCTTGCATTCAATAAACCCGTATAAATGCCTTTATCAATTCTAAATAGAAAAATTTATTTGGTATGTCGAAGTAAGTTGTTCTACAAAAAAATAAACAAGTGGAGTTCTCATAGAACACGTTTACACGTTTACTGCGGAATTTTAATTTTCCCTGCTCAAAAAAAAAGTTTCAGTTTTAAAACTCCGAGATTACATTTTGTTTTCATTCGGTAATTGCTTAAGATTACTAGTAATCCTATTGAAATTTGAATCTCATAAGTAATTAGATTTAGGAATAAAAAGTGTATTTGTTGTTTGGCGCTGCTCAGAATAGGGTGTATAACATTTAGATTTGACTCCGGAAGAAAAGAATGACCTGTTTTGATCCCCTTTTCTTTAAATTGCTTCTTATAGGATGAAAAAAATCACAAATAAACATATGACCAAAATGTCCTTCTTAATTTTTAAGGATATTCTAGATCACTGTACGAATTAATGTTAAGCCTCGACCCGAGTCCAGTATTCATAAATATATTTGGCCTGTAGGTGTTTACGGATTAGTTCTGTCGGTATGGTTCAGTTTGGGTCACTTCTGACTTGTGGTACAAATAGTTCGGCAGGTTATGTGTAGTACCATCACTTATATTGTCAGGCGTTATGCAGATAGGCAATTCTTGGCAATATTCCGCAAAAAACATTACTGCAAATATTACAACAAAGATCGAGAAATTTTGATCATCTTTTATATTCACTTCACGGGTTTAACCCCATTAATTTCAAAAATGTTCAGACGTCTCGAGTTGAATGTCTTTTATTATGGTTAGAGCCAAAAATAAAATACAAAAACATTCATTTGCATGTTTAATGGTGTATGGCAAACTCATTTCCATGGGTTTTCCAGAAATCGCTTAGTCGGGCTCCTTTGGAATCTTATCATTTTATGCTTTAGCATGTCAAAAGCAATGCTAAACGATCTCCATCTTTTTATTTCAGGCTTAACCCTGAACTTAGGCGGTCTTGGCAATAGTGATCGAAAAGATATATTTTATGGGCGATTTTTGAGGTACAGCTGTCCAGCTCTTTTGGATCCAGTGGGCATTCTGACCTCACCAGGAACTCCCACTGCTGACAAAGATGAAAGACGCCTTCCAATTGGTCCAACAAAAGTCAACCCGACATGTCAGTGATTCATTTTTTCCCCATTGTCAAAGATTTTTTTTCTTCTTTGAAAATGAAAAATGGTTGACCGTTTGTATTTGACCCTTTAAATCCATTAAACGAAGGAATATTAAAATATCATTTAGGGGAATTTTTTCCAGATAAGAAATATCAGGAGTAAAAAAAAGAGAATGAAAATAAGTTAATGCGGATAAACTTTCATGAATGAATTTATACAAAATATGTAATACATTGCACCTTTCTGTTCTCAAGGCAAGCTAATTTTTCATATCCATGAACATTTTTTTTTCATTGACCTGAAATAATGCAATGCTCTTTTCCACTTAAATGCTTTATGGTTTCAATTCTGATTAAGAAATGTAAATTTCGGTAAACATTTTTCTTTTTATTCGGCAGGTGCGTTCAGTTGAAGATGTTTCTTGGCAACAAAAAATTTGACTGTCGTATACAAATGTTGACCTTTACCCCGGGCCGTGACACCGGCGTACAAAAGATAGGTATATAACTTGATACATAAAGTAAACAAGCGGACTAGACAATCGACTGTTTCGATGACCTTAATTAGTGCGCACCTGCGTGGTTTTGGCCGCTCGCGGGTCTGCTTTGGACAAAGCGTTGGACAAGCTTACGTAGATTCCCAGACGACCTCTTAAATACAACTGTCGTAATTCAGAAATTGCTTGACAAAAAGTGATTTTAGAACAAGTCCAATTAATCACCTTTGCCCCTATACATCAATACACATATCTTCATTATATTTCGTTTTTAAAATAAAATAATGTGTAATTTTAACGAATATAAAATCATTCCATAGTTCCAAATGTCCAATGTTTAATTCCCGGGGAAATTTTTACGCGCGTTTGCCAGGAACAGGAAATAATATTGAATAAAAAAAATCGATTTGCACCATCAGTGTCAAAGTCCACGGTAAAAACCCCATACCGTCTCACCCGCAAAACATGTTATTACGTTAGTTGGACTAATTAAGTCTGAATTAATAAACCTGACCAGCACCCAGGAGTTATTTCCATTAAGGTAGCAGCTGGGAAAGCATGAAGCTTATTACGCTAAACTATTCCAGAATCAGGATCTTATTCTGTTTTATTTCTTACATATCTATATACATTTCATAAATGTAACATACTATTTATCAAAGTATCCTGAAAGGGGAGGGAGAACACATAGACAATGAGTATACATGTATTGGTAAAATGGGGTACAGTTTAACACGAGCCGGGGTTGGATTTTCGAAACTGGAAAAAACAGAACTATTTTGTTCTTCATAAAATAAACAGATTTTATATGAATTTGATCTATGCTATATGAGTCGAATTTTACAACTATAATGTGAAAATATTATAATTCGAATATGTTAAAAATAACGCCCGCTTCGACCTGCAAATTTTCAGTAATAATAACGAAAGTCAAAGGGGCTGGGTGGTCGCGGCCTTTTTTAGACTATTTCGATCTCCTTTAGAAGAAGAGCTCCATATAAAAATATACAAAAATGATCAAATTTTAAAACTAATATGTATGAATTTTTTCTTTGTCAAATGACAGTTGACAGCTATATATATCATATCTAAAATTTAAGTTATATCTGGTGGTTAAGTTGTTGTTAATTTTTTGACCCCCAGCCTCCTTAATTTGACTTTTTTTTATTCTTTAAAAGAACTTTAAAAGATGACGTTAGTTGACACTTTCAAGACATTTATGTAGTTCAAACTTTGTCGACTTTTGTCCTTGTGGTTTGGTTTTCTTTGTGGAATTCAAATTAATATAAGGGAAAATCATAATTCTGCAATGAAACTGCTTCTCTTAATCAAAAAAAAAAAAATAAATAAATAAAAATGCGTTTTTCCAATCAATACTCGTGTATCAAGCTAGTTTTGCAAACGATATCCAATTCAATACCAAATTGAAAGTTAAGTTTGATACTGAAATTTTTTGGTGATTGTGTTAAAACTTGTATTTGCAAGTTTTTAAATTTCATTTTTACCAAATATTCTCTTATCCTTCCACACCATTGCCCGTCTTCTTTTTCCGTATTCAGTTGGAAGATACATTTAACTCAATTGCGGAAGATACATTTAACTCAATTGCTTTATTTTACGAGGGAAAAAAATAAACAAAGATAATTTTTGTCCCAAAAACCTGGTCTCGTTTGGGTCAAATTATAATACAAAATTTAATTTTAACTTTGGTGCATTTTTCACTCTTTTTACACATGGAGTCCAAACTCCAAATGATGTTCCAAGTATATTTTTTTTAAATATCTAAAATGACTTTTGAATTTTAAATTTGTCTTTAAAAAATGTTTTGCAGACGTGTTACATGAATCAGGGATAAAATCTTTCAAAATTTACCCCCTTTTTGGTTCTATTGGTCAATGAATATCATATATGCAGGTATTTTGTTTTTAAATGTTATTTTTGCATGAAATCCTTTCATTAATGGTGCAATCAATTTAGAAGTCTTTGAATTAATAACAAACATACATTGAAAGATAGTTTAAAAGAGAGGAAATTACTAATGTTTGACAGAAAATATTCATTTATTTCAATAGTGAATACCCTCTTAACTTTTTATAAAATAAAATAGGTCTAGATGATATAGCTCCGAGAATAATCTCTTTCATGTTCTATACTGCTCGAGTTACCAATTTTACTGTAAAACATCATATCTGTTTTCAGCATTTTCTTAATCTAGGTTAAAAACCTATTCTAGAGAAGAGACAATTTTCCATCCATACCTTTCCTCTTACTGGTGTTCGTGGGTTCCCCTGCGTCTGACGAAGCTTGCGACGATGATGGCGATGAAGATGAGGTAGATGTCGCACTAATGGGAGAAGACATAGAGTTTTCTGAATGGGGTCTGGAAGCTGAGGACACCCCGGGATACAGTTTTCCCCCACTTTCACTACTCTCTTCACTCGTCGGCGAAGGTCTTTGTGGTAACACTGGACTGTATTCCGGTAATACGAACGAAGGCGTTTGTGTTGTTGGCATCATGGCAGATGGAAAGTAGGGCACAAAACCTCGATTCATTCCGTCTACGAATTCATTATTCTCACCACCTAACCGAATGTCCATTTTGAAGTAGTCCGAGGAGTATGTTAAAGATCGGGGTTGTTTACACCGGGGATTGATATCACTACCTATACTATCCAGCACTGACCAACTGAAGGACCTCTCTCATCGATCCAGATCCGACACATTCATGTCGTTAATAAAAACACAACTGGAAAGGTTGATACTCGTCTTTTTGGTTCAGGGTGGTGGGGGACTAGTACATATCCGTGTTTACTCGGCACCTCACACTTGATTGTCTATGACATGGTCAACAACTATACAATTTGACTAGCCGATGTGATGTAACGCCCCAGCGGTTCAACGATGGTCGCGTCCACTATCGAGCATAGGGGATATAGGCCAGTTTACGATCGGTCATCGAATTATTTTTCTAATTTTTCGAAATAAAAACGATAAAAATAACAAATTGACAAAGAACACTAGACTCTAAAATAGTTTTAGAAGATATTCTGTCGCGCAATGTAGAAGATTTTAGGACTTCCTTTCGTTTGGATGAACTATCCACCCTCGACTTTCTGTCCTCATTCCATCGACCACATAGACTGGTCAGTGTTATGATCGGATCGCGGAGGTGAGGTCAGGGTGACCGCTAACGAGAAAGAGAGTAAAATTACTGTAAGAAAACGTGTATTTGATGAAAATTACTTAAAATTTTATTTCTTATATTTGGTTCATATGATTGAAATATAGTTTTTGTGGAAGTAGTTGTAATTAATCATAGGAAGTGCTTTAAATTAACTAATTGATAACCTGAATTCCCTACCGTTTTGCAAATGGAATACCCCATCTGTACTAAGGCCATCGAAGGACACGAATTATTAGCAAGTAACCGCGACGGGGTTATAGGTCATTTGCAATTTACCGTAGTATATGTAAACAGGAGTACATTTAGTGATTAGATTTTACGTCATAGGTGACAAGACTCGTGTATGCAGTTTGTTACATAATTTGCTCCATCGCGAAAGACATGTTGTTTTAGTACAAGTATCTGTTCAACAGAGTTATTAATATCAATTTACGTCATATAGCTACATGTAATTTATTAATGTTAAAAACTAGGATAGTTAGTTATCTTGCAGTGTGATATCTTTATTAGAAATCAGAGACGTATTCTGTTAACATAGATTGGCAGTTTTCTGACATTTCTTTAAACTGAGATTAAATGTGAGAATGGACTTTGGACTGTTCGCCGTGTTTAGTCATGTGACAAGATGTATTCCCTATACAGCTGTTTATGCAATATTTTTCAGACTTGAAGTCATTAAGAGGCGATCAAATCTTTGTTCGGCATTGCATAACGTTATATCAACCCGTCAATATGACCCACCCGTGATCACGGGCAAACGAAATTTACCTTTATCAGAATGACGTAACAAGTCTGGAGAGCTAATACTCAATCCACGGCGCATTAATTTTCTATGAATACCTGGTAGAGGAACCAAGGAAAGCTTACATAATTCATAGAACCTGTTGACGATGTATATTTGACAAAAGACGGACCATAACAAGTTGTGCAACAACAACCCTTTAATAGTTTGTTTGTTCGGTTTTGGGGGAACCGGGCAGAATCGTTTCCAGACAGTCGATAATTGCCATGAGAACCTGCTGGCGGTAGATAATGTTAGGACATGTACTAATGCGGACGTCTGTTACCCCTAGCCAAATACATAAAACACGTCAGGACCTCGAACAATAACAGAGACACCAGTGTCCTGATACTACTAGTACTTAAACATTTTTCGCCTAAGTTTCCAAATTTCGAAAGGCACTCTTTATCTTTTGAAAATATTAAAGTACCCAAAGTATGCACAACTGATTTAATTGACATATTACATCTACAAGGATGGCATTGGGTTACGCAGTCTGGATAAGCTCTCGTCTCACCTAGTTCGGGGACACGTCCTGATGATGTATAGCGTGTTGCATTAGATCCCAATCATAAGGCGTCTGATGTACTCGCTACCATGTGTTTTGTGTTGAGTTAGCATGATCTGTCAAAGATAAATGCTATGTGCTGCTGCAACATACATGTAATAAATGAAGCACACCAGAGTGCTCCAAACTTTGATCATGTACATGTATACTGTGTCTGTTGCCAAGTACAGTTTTGTTTTATGCTTAAATGTAATTTATATTTTAGAGTTAAGTTACCATGTAGACTAATGCACTAGACACCTTACAGGAAGCTCCCGTGCATATAGATATAGATGTGCACGTGAATAGAACGTAAGGTCTGTCTGTAGCATCAGTCCTCCCTCCCGGAAAAATGTCCTAATGGGTCAGATACCATTTAACCCTCTGATTCAACCATAGCATGCATGGTGCATTTATAAACAACAATTATAAAATCATAATTTAAAAAACACATTGCAACATAATAAATAAAGAACCCAGAGTGTTCCAACATTGATCATTCATGTATATTGTGTCTGTTGCCAAGTACAGTTTTGTTTTATGCTTAAATATAATTTATATTTTGGAGTTAAGTTGCCATGTAGACTCATGCAATGGGAACCTTACAGGAAGCTCCTGTGAAAAAAGATATGCAAGTGAATGGAGCTTAAGGTCCATCTGCAGCATCAGCCCCCACCTCTCCCTAAAAAAACAAGTCCTGATAGGTCAAATACCATTTAACCAAAACATGGTGCATTTTCAAACACTGCATAATTTGATTTAAAAAATAAACATCGTCCATAATTGAGTAATTCACTCAAGAAAGCCAAAACATAAGTTTTTGAAAGATTGTTCTTTGCCGTGCATGCATATTCACTCCTCCAGTTTAGCATCACAATTAAAAAAGATAATCTTGCAAAATGTACGAATCTATGATTTGTGGAGAATTTTAACACAACGAGAATATAATTCTGAAGAGAAGCAGTACGGTATTTGCAAAATGTCGGAACGTGAATTAACTTAAGTCCTTTTTTTTTTCACTTTTTATTAAATATACTAACAAACAACTTTCAGATATGATTGACAGAAAGCTTTGCATATTGTACACATTAAAATTTATCCAATTTGAAAACGTTTTACCTGCATTTACCATTCCAAAAACATTTGTTTTAAAGTGCTTTTTATTTTTTAAAGAAAATGTCCATCTTGAAATATATATAAGAAATTGAATTATTTTCCTTACACGCTATTAAAACTAATTTTCCATGTTTTGGATTGTAAAATTCATTTCATGAATGACAGAAATTTCATTAAAGAACGTAAACAACGTTGTTTAAGCTTTATTCTCTTTTTTCCCTAGAGTTGAAGAGTTCCAATACCTGAAGGAACTGTACTAGTATGATATGCTTTTATAACATTTTATGTTTATTCATGGTGCTGTACACTTCTAAAACATATTTTTTGAAAGAAAAATCTAGAATACATGTATATGAAATTGTTAAGTAAATTTTGTATATTTTTCTATATAAAAGAATTATAAACGGATTTTCATCATTTGACATCTTTTCAAAATCTCCTGTTAACGTTTTTTTTCCTACCAAAATCTAATGGCTTTTTATTTCTAAATTAATAATATCTTGGAAAAATTATCAGTAAGTAAGGTACATTGCGTATGTCATTAATTCTTAGACTCCTCCATGATACTGAGGCTAAAAATTTTCAAAGAATAAGGTTTTGAATTTCACAGAGATTAATTGTCGAGACAACAAAGACATAATATGGACCTTCACCAACGATAACGCGACGATTACGGCCGCCTGTGCTCAATCTTTCTTAATTCAGATTATTGGAGAAGTCATTTTTCCCCCAATTTAAAAGAACAGCAATACTCTCAGATGAAACAAATTATAAGGGCATGTGACAATCCAAATGAGATCTTTAAAATGATATATTGAATATGTCTTATAATATTACATACTTATAATTCATCTGAAGAAGGATTTTTCAAATCATTAACAGGGAACATTTATGTATTATCATTAAATACACTTAAGAAAAAGTTACATGGGGAAACATGTTTGTACAGTTGAATTTTCATCTATCAACATTTATTTTCGATCCTTGTAAACTTAATTGTGTTAAATTTAATAATTCATGTTAAATACATGTAACGATTTTTTAAAAATGCATTTCTTAAATTTGAATACAGATGTGCACATTGGACACACAAAAAATTTCAGTCTATTAAAATATTGAATTGCTTTTGGACTAGTAGTTAGAGGACACCGTTAATTAAGACTGAACTGCTCGGGGACCCTCCCCCTTGATGCTTGGAGGTACATTGTCTGGGTGCAGGGCACATTGACACGGTGACTAAATTGCTTCCCTGCCTGGCCATGTGTCTGCGGTACTTGTTATGACGGACAGAGTATAATTAGATCGCAGGATACAGTCTTTGTTGTTTGAGTTAGTTGTTTCGTCTTCATTGCGTGTGGCGAAGGAACATGTACAAAGGATGCGAGAGCGATAACCGAAGAAGCAGTTGGCAAGATGTATAATTTTATCACGATAGGAACAATACCTTACTCTAATCCAAATAGTCCCATTATTTGAAGGACAGGTATTGCCATATGCATGACACTAAACCGGAAAATTGATACGGAAATGAAAAATTAGCAAAGTATCGATGACCCCCAACTTGAAATATTTTTATTTCAAACTAACATGGTTAAATGACTCTCAGGGAAGATAAGAATTATCTTAATCTACGTAGCTGGCGTAATAGTTCATTTGAAGATGATGTTATTAACATTTCTAAAATAACTTTCTACAAAGATCACAAATATCTTAATCTGATCTGTAACAAATGCACTGGTCAGACAATAATGGCAAAGATTAACGAGATATAGCGAAGTGAATTTTCATGGCTCATCACAATGTGAATCGCGTTTGTCTCATGGAACATTAGATAACGCTATTCCAATTAACTATTGAAATTCGCATTTGTCACTGTGCATTGTTTTGATCCTTAACTGAAAATATGCGATTAGAATTAAAGAAGGGTCGAATTAATAATATATAATTCACCCATCAACCCCAAAATATTT